TGGCTTTTTTATCACTGTTGTCTATAACTTTGTTAATTATACCTTTTCAATAATTCTAAAAATTCCACCCAAAATATGTATCAAAGTGTCTGTCTAGATTTCAGAAATCAGCAGAGTGAATTTTCTAACATTTTTATTTCCTTTTTCCCTTCATTAATAGTAACATTTCTCTACTACAAAAGGATTCATTCATTACATTAATAACAGAACTTTAGAGTTAGTACACATCTGACCCCACCCACATAGTCTACCTAAACTACTATCTAAGGCTAAACTCAAGACAGTATTGCCAAAACCGGTTAGGCTCAGTGGAAGAGCGTCAGTCTGCGAACTGAAAGGTCCCAGGTTCGATTCCGGTCAAGGGCATGTACCTGGGTTGCGGGCACATCCCCAGTAGGGGGTGTGCAAGAGGCAGCTAGTCGATGTTTCTCTCTCATCGACGTTTCTAGCTCTCTGTATCTCTCCCTTCCTCTCTGTGAAAAATCAATAAAATATATTAAAAAAAAAAGACAGTATCTCCCACTGGTATCTTTTTTTCTCCTCCCATACCCCAAACATACCTACATAAAAGGCTATATATAAACTGCTTACAAGAACTACCTTAAAATATTCTATATTTCACTTTTTATAGCATTACTCCCTTTGCTTTTTAAAAGTCAGCATTTAGCCCTAGTCAGTTTGGCTCAGGGGACAGAACATCTGCTTGCGGTTGGAAGGGTCCCGGGTTCGATTCCGGCCAGGGACACATGCCTGGGTTGCAGACTCGATCCCCGGTGGGGGGAGAGGTATGCAGGAGGCAGCCAATCAATGATTCTCTCTCATCATTGATGTTTCTATCTATCCCTCTCCCTTCCTCTCTAAAAGAAAAAAAAAAAAAAAAAAAAAAGTCAGCATTTGCCTTACAAATGTAGATGCTCCATCTAGTGGCAGAAGATCAATTAGGGCAATATGGTTTTAAGAACATTTTTAACCATTATTTTCCCCCTTAAAACATTACCAACCCTGAAATTCCTAATTTCCTAACCTCGATGGCAGGTTCAATCCCTGACCTGGGTCGGGGCACATGCCAAAGGCAAGAGGTGCAGGAAACAAGCAATTGATGTGTCTCTCTCACATCAATGTTTCTCTCTTCCCCCTTCTCTCCCTCTCTTGCTTCCACTCTCTAAAAAAAGATCAATATCTTCAGTTGATGCCGAAATTGGTTTGGCTCAATGGCTAGAGCATTGGCCTGCAAAATGAAGGGTCCCAGATTCGATTCCGGTCAAGGGCATGTACCTTAGTTGTGGGCACATCCCCAGTAGGGGTATGCAGGAGGCAGCTGATCGATGTTTCTCTCTCATCGATGTTTCTAACACTCTATCCCTCTCCCATTCCTCTCTGTAAAACTCAATAGAATATATATATATTTTAAGTCCTCAATTGAGAATTAAAACAATAAAAATAAAATGCCCTAAACAGGAGAGAGTTCTATATTTTCCTAAAATGGGGGAGAAATTAAAAATAGACTAACAGATGATTTGTTTTTACCAAAAAAAACTGCCAGAGTCCCTGGCCAGAGTATGCTCTGTGGTTAGAGAATCAGCCCATAGACCAAAGGGTCATGGGTTCGATTCCTGATCAAGGTCATGTACCTGGGTTGCAGGCTTGATTCCCTGGCCTGGGTTGGGCACATACTGGAATAACCAATTGATGTGTCTGTCTCTCTCTCTCTCTCTCTCTCTCTCTCCTCCCTTCCCATGCACTCTCCTCTCCACTCCCTCTAAAAATCAATGGAAAACTATCCTCGGGTGAGGATTAAAAACTAATTTGCCACAGAACCCAATAACTGATATTATGTGTTTTAAACAGTGATTGTAATATTGTGCACATCTAAAAATAGTCAAAACATTAAAGCAGAAATCAACGTTTTGTTTATAATAAAAATCCATGAAACACCTTGGTTAATACCACAAACTTCTTTTCTGCTTACATTTTCAGAGAAGTGATAACTAGAGAATTTTAAAACACAAGAAACATTAAACACTAAGGGAAAGAACATCATTTAGCAAATTTACTGAAGTTCCTCACTCAGAACCAGCCAGCTCACAAAGGAGTCATAGTTTCTTTGCTTGTCCTTCTCTTGGGAGGGTGGGAACAAGTGTCCATGGTGCTCGCAGGCTGCTGAGCAGCATTCCAGCTTATTGCTCAGGTCTGTTTGTTGTGGTTTGTAAAGGCTGTGTCACAACGGCTTCAGCTCCATCCTGTTTTCACCACCCGTCCACATAATCTACCAAGCCTTTACAACAGGTGGCCCTGAACGCTTGTACAAACTGACTGGGTCAAAACTAAAGAAGGGAAAAAAAGACTTTACAAGACAGTGGTGTTTTAGATGACAACAGCCTACACAGAATTCCTCGTCTATGTGAGAAGCTCGTGCACAATGTCTAGGCTGTTCGGGGGGCGGGGAACAGCTTCCTCCACAGCTGAGGCCAAGTAGATGCCAAAAAAAAAATTTTTTTTTTTTTTGAGAAAGAATGTACTAAAAGATGTTAGAGACGTGGGCTAAGAGACCCAGGGTTGTGTGTGTGTGTGTGTGTGTGTGTCCATGCGTGCTCTAAGACTAAAATTCACTAAATACTGATCAGTACCAACTTAGTAATATAATTTCATATACTAATGGATCAGAAGAATCTAGGTCACCTAGAAATTAAACTACTTTCATAAGAACATAAAACTACCAAAATGAAAAATTACTTGAAAAGGTCCTTGCAACTTCCAAGTTCATGTGGGAGAAAAAATGTCCTCAAAAGAGAAATGAGTAAATTAAAGTTTATAATTAGGAACATTCACCTTAAATCCATCTCCACACAAAAAGCTAGAATTTAGATTATGCATTATGTGTTCCATTAGTACCCAATCTCAAAGGGTACTGCCATTTCTAGCACCAAATACATTTAAATGTTTTATCTCAAAGATTAGCCAAAATATCTGACCACCCTTATGAATATGTGCTAAATATTTGCTAGATCAGTTGGCAGGCATGCTCAGCAAATTGCCAGTAGGGAGGACAAGAGTAAAAGAGGATCCAGATGACAATTATGACCAGACACACACTAGGAAATGGAGAAACCAGTGACAGAATGGTGACTAGGCTGGTGACTCTGCCCAAATGCTCCCGAACCTGGGAGCCAGCAGTCCACACACTGGAGGTGGTAGCTGAGGCTGTCCCGCCTATTCCCACAATCTGTGATGTCTTCCCAGATGCTTTTTCTGACTGGCTGCTTTGGGAGCTTCAGCTCTTCTCACTCTCATGGCATCTTCTGGTCCTTCTGTCCCACCCTCCACCATAACTGCAGGCAACATGTGGTCAAGCAATTCTGGACCACCTCCCGGGGGTTGAACCATCAAAGTCATTAGATTGCCTTGGCCACTGGCAGCCACTGAAATCCGAGGCTTCCCAATTATTATACCACCAGCAGGTTACTTCACCCTGAGGGTTTTTCTAGGATGCCTCACCACCATTAGTCCTGGGGCTAATACATAGCAATAATCACTTCAGGTAACAACTGAAGACTTCCATCGCCATCGCCCCAGAAGGTCTGGTGCCAAAGCCTGCTCCCAAGCTGTGTCCACTCCCTCGGAGTTACCAAACAGGCATTACAGCCTCAAAGCTGTGTCAGAGAAAAGGCAACAGCCATCACTGATCCAGAGATGGGGCTGCTGCCACCAACACCACTTGTCTGACTTCTTTTGCTGAGTTAAAGCCCTCGGCACTATGAAACGTCACTAACACTTCTGTAAGTCACAACTACCGAGTTCCCAGAGCCCTGCCGCTCATGGTCCTGGCGTACTGCACCTCCCAGTCAGTGATGTCTCCTTAGAAGCATACTGTTCTCAAGTTTAGCCTTCAATACTGCTGTCCCACGGGAACATTTCTAACAGGTTTATCCACGAGTTAGAGCCATTCTCTGGATTCCATGAGTTTCTATCTACATTGCAGACATTGCTCTGTGTATAGACTAAGCAACTCACAGGACTGGTTACAAAATGACTTTGCTACAAAGAGTTCTCCCCAAAAGTTCTTCCTACCGTCCCAGAATTTTGCAATGTGTGAACAAAAATGTCCATAATCAATCACAAACTTCCCAGTGGCTGAAGTGGTCAGAAGGTCGCTTCTCTTAGGCCCTATGAACATCAGCACTGGCCCAAAGCTAGAAATGATAATTGCTTACAAACAAGCCACTAAGTCAAAGATTCAAGAGATTCTGTAAGAAAAATCACCCAACCCAAGTGATGGGCCTTGCTGGCTAGAAAACAACTCAATCACACATAAAAGCAACCTGAAGGAAAGCAATTAGCATGTATACAGAAAGACAACAAGAGTTAGGATGGTACAGAGGAGATGAATACAAGGGTTGTTTTCTCTTTTTAAATTTGTTTTTTTTTTTTTTTTATTGAGAGAGGAAAGGATAGAGGGTTAGAAACATCAATGAGAGAGAAACATCAACTGGCTTCCTCCTGCACACCCCCCACTAATATGGAGCCCGCAACCTGGGCATGTGCCCCAACTTGGAACCAAACCGGTGACCTCTTGGTTCATGGGTTGGCGATCAACCACTGAGCCAGGCCACAGAGTGTTTTCTTAATCATCCCATAACACAGATGGAGTCACAGCCAGGAAATCACTGAGAAAGTAGGAAAAGTTACTTCTGTAAACAAACTCCTCCATAGTAGGTTAAACATTTCTTAAAACTTATTTGCTGTATTCATATAAGCAAATGGATAAATAAGACTGTAAATAGAAGTGTTTTTTGGTTTGTTTTTATTTTTAAATAATAGCAACAGGGAATTAAGAATAACATAGTATATAAAAAAATTAAAAAAAACGATCTGCAAAGTTATTAAAAGTAGGAATGAAAGGAACACCAAAGAATAATTTGAGAAAGTTAATGTTATCAAAGCAGTGACAGGAGATGAAGGATGATGCTTAACAATACCAAACACTCCCTTCAACACCATACCTTATCAATGGCTTTTCCAACCCGAGATACACTGCTGTGGATGTCTTTGTGGTCTGAGGCCAATTTCTGAACAGTATCCTTTATCCTTTTGCAGCACTGTGTCAGTACAAGTGAAAGTGTCCCTGACAACTCGGCGTCTTGGCCTATAAAAAAAGAAAAAGAGGGGGGAAAGGTTGGTTATGAGAACAAACCAAAGATGGCACTTTGGACTGAAAATGGAAGTGAAGAAAACTCAATATCTGCTTTGAAGCAGAGGGCCACATCCGTGATAATATTTTTCAAGTGAAAACTAAGAATGTTACCTTAATATTTTCTATTTTATAGAATACATTAAAAAAAATTGTCATGAAATAAACCACTTTTGTAGTTACTGAAATCAGCATAAACTGGGAATAATATTTCCAAAGCATTTTTCAGAAAATGTCTCAATAAATAAGCTCATTTATTCAATCTGCTTAAACTGTTGGACTCATTCTCAAAACATTTTGACTGTTATTAAATTTCCTAAAGAGAGATTATTTAGTCTAAATGTTTTATACTCTATATAAAGAAAAAGTAAACCCCTTTGAATATCATGATGTGCACAAATAAGTGAACGTGACGGGCCTGAGTCTGCTCTCCTTAGAAAGGCATGCTTGCAAGGTAGACCCTCGGCTGGCGTCTGGGAACTTGACCTTCAGGAAGGTTCCCACCACTCTAACGGAAAAGAATGGTTCACTGTGCCTAAACTGATGGTATAATGTGATTTACTCTAAACTACTTTCCTCCAGAGTTCGGAATTTTGGCATATGGTAGGCAGAGGAAGCCCAGATGACCAGTTCCCAACAAAACACCCTCACTCAGTACATGCCTCTAATGAGCTTCCCTAGTAGGAAACACTTCACACTTACAATGAGATGCTGGAGAATTAAATGTGTCCTGTGTGATCCCACGGGAAAAGGACTCTTAGAAGATTGCTCCTGGGACTGCCCCATGCATCCTTCCCTGAGCAGATTTTGCTTTATACCTTCTGCTGGAATAAATCGTGGCCATGAGTGTAACTACCTGTTGAGTCCTGTTTGTCCTCCTAGTGGTCAATGAACACTACATATGCCATCAAGGGGCCGTCAGACTCACGATAAGTGAACTGAAATTTACTGTGGTTTCTATCCCTTTTGCCTGCGCTACCACCTCGGGAAAAGGGGAGAAGAAAGGAGCCTTAACGGAGGGAAGACAAACTAGGTTTTTTTGTCAATTACCTCAATTATCTACATACCACCACCTGCATGCAAAGGCCTGGCTTCTGAAATCCTACTCAATATTACAAAGCAGTGGTTCTTAAATTTTAATTTATTTGCATCAGAATCACCTGGAGACCTAGTTAAAACAAAGTAGTTGGACCTCATTTCTAAAGTTTCTAATTCAATAAGTCTGGGAGGATGGGGCCCAAAAATTTGAACAAGAACAAGCTCAAAAATACAGTAGTCCTAGTATGTGCATTCATTCAATTATTTTTTGTTGAACACTCATTATGTGATATGGCAGTAAAACAAAACCACCAAAAATTCCCACCCTAAACTTACCTCCTGGTGAACAAAATAAACAATATACAAAATAAGTCAATTATATAGTATGACAAAAGACTATGGGGATTTAGGAGTACAAATTGGTAGTTACAAAATTGTCATGGAGATGTAAAATATAGCACAGGGAATATAGTTAGTAATTCTAGGTAATAAAGAGGCAATATGCAAATTGACCGTCAAGCCCTCACACAAGATGGCCACCCCATGTGGTCACAAGATGGCTGCCACAATATGGCCAAAAGGGAAGTGCAGTTGTGGGCAACCAGGCCTGCAGGGAAGAGCAGCTGGGGGCGACCAGCCCAGCAGAGAAGGCGAGATGGGGGCAACCGGGCTTGCAGGGGAAGAGAGGCAGTTGGGGGGAGGGACCAGGCCTGCAGGGGAAGGAGGGAAGTTGGGGGGGGGGGGAGAACCAGGCCTGCAGGGGAAGGAGGGAAGTTGGGGGGGGGGGGGGAATAGGCCTGCAGGGGAGGGCACTTAGGGGTGACTAGGCCAGCAGGAAAAGGCAGTTAGGGCTCAGGCCGGCAAGGGAGGGCAGTTGTGGGCAACCAGGTCTGTAGGAAAGGACTGTTGAAGGGGACCAGGCCTGCAGGGGAGGACAGTTAGGGGCAACCAGGCCAACAGGAGAGGGTGGTTGGGGTGGGACAAGGCATGTAGGGGAGGACAGTTAGGGGTGAGCAGGCCAGCAGGGAAGGGCATTGGGGGCAATCAGGCTGGCAAGGGAGGGCAGTTGGGGGCAACTAGGATGACAGGGGAGCAGTTGGGAGCCAGCAGTCCCAAACTGTGAGAGGGATGTCCGACTGGGATTGAGCCTAAATGGGCAATCTGACATCCCTTAAGGGGTCCCAGACTGAAGAGGGTGCATGCTGGGCAGAGGGTCACCCCCCCCACACACACACCCAGTGCACGAATTTCATGCACCAGGCCTCTAGTCTTATAATAATTATGTATGGTGTCAGATGGGTACTAGATTTATCTGGGTGATCACTTTGTAGGTTATATTAATGTCTAATCACTATGTTGCACTCCTGAAAATAATATAACATTGCATGTCAACTGTAATTGGAAAAAAATTACTTAAAACTTTTATAGCACTCGCTGGTGTAGCTCAGTTTGTTGGGCATCATCTAGTGCACTAAAAAGTTGCCAGTTCAATTCTTGGTCAGGGCACCTGCCCAGGTTGTGGGCTTTATCCCTGGTAGGGGGCTGGATATTCAAATTTGTGAGTCGCTGGCATGTGACTAAATAAAATTACCTAGAGAGTCAGTACAGAAAGAAGTAGTAAAAGGAGCAAGTCTAAGAAACTAACTCCAAGTTTATGAGACCAGGATGAAATGGAATTGAGAAAGAACAAACACAGCCGGTGCGGCTCAGTGGGTGAGCGTCAACCCATGAACCAGGAGGACATGGTTTGATTCCTGTTCAGGGCACATGCCCAGGTTGCAGGCTCAATCCCCAGCGGGTGGAGGAGGGAGGGAAGGGTTGTACAAAGGCAGCTGATCAATGATTTTTTCTCATCATTGATGTTTCTCTTTCTCCCTCTCCATTCCTCTCTGAAATCAATAAAAATATTTTTTTTAAAACAACAACAACAAAGACTATTGAAACACTGTGACATAATAGGAAAATCAAAAAAGCATGGTGTTGGCAATGGTAAGATATGTACACATATAATACCTTAATAAAAAAATGAAAAGAAAAAAAAGCATGGTGTTGGGAAAGCCAAGTAAAGAAAACATATCACGGAAGAGGGAGTAACTAACTGCTCTGTCAGGTAAATGGTGGACTGAGAACTGACCACTGGATTTACAATGTGGATGCTATCAGTTAACATGACAAGCACAGTTTCTCTAGAGTTTCAAGAAAAGAAATCCTAGAAGGCTGCAGGGACTGTGAAGTCGGAATATAGAAAATTGAACTCAATGACAACCAGTGAAGAAGTAAAAAGAATATAGTGCCTACTAGGGGCCCTGTGCACGAATTCACGCACCTTGAAAGAAACTGTAGGTCGAGCGGCTACAGTGGGCCCAAGGACAGTCTCAGCCCACCTGGACCCTCCCACCACAGCCCCCGTCTGCTGGCATCCCCTTTCCCACCACCACTGCTCCCATGCACTGACGGCACCAGCCTCACTCACATCTGCTAATGCAATCAGGGCTGGTGCCAGCAGCAGGTGCAAGTGGGGCTGATGCTATCAGTGGGTGTCAATGGCGACTGCTGCTCCAATTGCCCCTCAGGAGCAGGGGAAAGTGAAGCTCTGAGGAGTGATTGAGGCTAGTAGCCACTTCTCGCACTAGCCACCGGTACAAGCTGTGGCTCCAGCATCGGCAGCAGGTGCAAACGCTGGGCAGGACTATGGCACCCGGAAGTAAAGAATTTTCATTAAGCACCAAAGGCTCACCCCGATGACAGTGACCCATGCTCTGCCTTGGTCTGGCACCCCTGCTCACTTGCTCAATCATTCCGCTGTGGCTGACACCTGCCATTTTTGCGCTCTGCTTCTTGCTGCCATTGTTCTGCCGTTTGATCTATTTTGCATTTTAGGATATATATATATGTATCTATTGCCCAATCCAATATGGGGTAGCCAAAATAGAAATTGCCCTTACCTCTAAGTACAATTGCACAAAGGATGTATTAGGTGCTTCCTATTTCTAACAACGTAATTTATGTTAAAAGGAGATGTGGTAATTCAAGCAAAAAATAATTAAATTGGACTTCAATGAAACTAAAAACTTCTGAGTTTCAAACACTACCAAGTGAAAAGATAACCCACAGAATGGGAGAAAATATTTGCAAATCATATATCAGACAAGAGCTTAACATCCAGAGTATATAAATAAGTCTTACAACTCAAAAATAAAAGACAATTTTAAAAAATGAGCAAAGAGCCGGGACCGGTTTGGCTCAGTGGATAGAGTGTCGGCCTGCGGACTGAAAGGTCCTGGGTTCGATTCCAGTCTAGGGCATGTACCTTGGTTGCGGGCACATCCCCAGTGGGGGGTGTGCAAAAGGCAACTGGTCGGTGTTTCTCTCTCATCGACGTTTCTAACTCTCTGTCCCTCTCAATTCCTCTCTGTGTAAAATCAATAAAATATATTTTAAAAAATAAATAAATAAATAAAAAATGAGCAAAGAATTTGAATAGACATTTTTTCCAAAGTTGCACAAATAACCAATAATCACAAGGAAAGATGCTCCACATCATTAGTCAGTAGGAAAATGCAAATCAAAACTATAATGAGAGCCTTGGAAGTGTGGCTCAGTGACTGAGCATCATCCTATGAACCAGGAGATCATGGTTTGATACCTGGTCAGGATACATGCCTGGTTTGGGGCTCCATCCCCAGTGGGGAACATGCAGAAAGCAGATTATCAATGATTCTCTCCTATTATTGATGTTTCTATCTCTCTCTCCCTCTCCCTCTCTCTCTGAAATCAATAAAATTAAAAAAAAAAAAAAAAAAAAAAAAAAAAAAAAAAAAAACCCACCTATGAGAAAGCCCTGGCTGGTTTGACTCAGTGGATAGAGCATCAGACTGTGGACTGAAGGGTCCCAGGTTCGATTCCACATGACCGGA